CATCCCTCCATCCATCCATTCATCCATCCATCCATCCATCCATCCATCCATCCATCCATCCATCCATCCATCCATCCATCCATCCATCCATCCATCCATCCATCCATCCATCCATCCATCCATCCATCCATCTTCCACTTGCTCTGAAGTCGGGTCGCAGGGGCAGCAGCTTGAGCAGGGAGGTCCAGACATCTCTTTCCACAGCCACCTCTTCCAGCTCTTCTGGAGCATGTCCTGCGTCTTCCCTGGGGTCTTCTCCCAGTCAGACATGCCCTGAGCTCCTTCCTAGAGAGGCACCCAGGGAGCATCCTTACCAGATGCCCGAACCACCTCAACTGGCTCCGCTCAATGTGGAGGAGCAGCGGTCCTACTCTGAATCTCTCCTGGATAACTGAACTTCTCACTTTATTTCTGAGTCCAGCTGCTCTGCTGAGGAAGTCTTTCTTTCAATCACTTCTCAGAGTGCATGACCATAGGTGAGGGTAGGAACGTAGACAAAACGATAAACAGAGAGCTTTGCCTTACAGCTCAGCTTGCTCTTCACTACAACGGATCGGACCAGAGTCCATCATACTGTAGATGCTGCATCAATCCATCTGTCAATCTCTCGCTCCATTCTTCCTTCACTCATGAACAAAATACCAACTTGAATTCCTACACTCCAGGCAGAGCCTCACCCTCGACCTGAAGGGAGCAATTCACTCTTTTCCAGTTCAGGACCATGGCCTCAGATTTGGAGGTTCTGATCCTTATCCCAGCCTCTTCACACTCGGTTGCAAACCGCTCCAGTGAGAGCTAAAGATCATGGCACGATGACGCCAACAGGACCACATCATCTGCAAAGAGCAGAGGTGCAATCCTGAGGCCACTGAACCCGACTCCCTCCACCCCCTGGCTGCACAGAGGAATTATGTTCACGAAAGTTATGAACAGAATTGGTGACAATGGGCAGCCCTGGAGGAGTCCAAATCCCACCCTGAAGGGGTCTGACTTACTGCAAACCAAACGCTCACACCAATTGTATATAGGGACTGAACATCCCATAACAACGGGCCTCCAGTCTTATACCGAGCCCCCACAGTGCACCCCGAGGAACACGATCGAATGACTTCTCCATGTCCATAAAACACATGTAGACTGGATGGGCAAACTCCCATGACCTCTCGAGGACCCTAGTGAGGGTAAAGTGAAAAAACAAATCAAACAAACGAAAAACTAATTACTACAAAAACAGCAAAACCGAAAAAGTGACATTTTTGATTAGAGTAGTCAAGTCACATTTATTTATATAGCACATTTAAAACAGTAACTGTTATCAAAGTGCTTACCAAAAAAGATCACGGCATCAAATATTAATAACAAGATATTACAGCAACATGAATAAAAGCATAAAAACATGAAATATAATGAGAAACAATGAAATACTAAATTAAATCCCCCTGAGTTAAATGTCAGGGAGTAAAAGCAAAATGGATGAACACAATCATCAACAATGAAATACCAAATGAGATCACACTGTGTTAAATGCCAATGAGTACAGATGTGTTTTGTACAGTAGTACAGTAGTTCCTCGCTACTTTGTGGTTCGTTTATCGTGGATTCGCTCT